TTACGCACGTCTACAAGCCTTAAATCTCATCAACAGATTTTGCATTCCCATGTAGAATCTTAACACCTTCGAGAAGGATTTGGTTGAATGCAGGTAAACAGTGGAGAGCAAAAGACTGTTGTCTGATGATGAGTTAACTTTTTATTGGTTCAAAATGAGTTTGTAAACTGGCTACTTGTCAAATGACGCGGTTGTACACGTTGTCTCTCGTCTCCAACTCCAGTGTCGAATCTCAAGTTGCTGATCGGACTGTAAATAATGAGCAGCGCACGGAAAAGTAAGTCTTGGGCCGAACATCCGCAGGCTGCACCGGAGCCCCAGAAGTAGATCCCCTATTTTGCTACCAGAGGCTTATCCGTCGTCAGATGCACAGTAACAAATCTGACGACAAGGACGATGTGTCATGCAGCGTATAGCATGACACACGTGAAATCAATAAAAAAACATGGATTTTTTAAATCTGTGACAAGTAATTTAAAGAGATAGACTGCACTTAAAATAATGTCTGCTTTAAAGCCAGGTGCCAAACCAGAGCTTGTATAGATTCTCAGGTTTGGTTTTCGCGATTGTGATCTTATGAATATAAAGTGTCTCTTTTCTTCTCTTGTTGGTCTCAGTATTCATGAGCCACAGGCTGCTCTAAGTTGTGTCTCTGACCTATTACCATTTAAAAGTAACCCCACTAACCACTTGGGCATGCACACATGTGCACACTCGCAGGTGTGTGTTTCATGAGGATCACAAAGCCCCATGAAACACATTTTGTTTTGCAATTCAAACCACATGATGAAAGTGCATTTATTCATGAGCGGTGTCCTGTCTGCTACTGATTCAGGTCAGGGGGTTCGCCAATAAAGAGCATGCACAATGACATTTTAATTAGAACTATTGTTTTATGTGCCTTAATATTCATATAGTCTTTGTTCTCTGTTTTGTGTACAGGCACATTATCTCTTGTCCTGTCTTCTCCATCCTGTTTCAACCTCTATTTTCATTAGATCCAAAGACAGCTTTTGATGTTTATTGTTATTGAGGCAACCGAGCGCCATGTGCATGTTAACGTTAAGTTTTTCAAGGTTACATTAGTCAAGTGTGGTGAATGAATGCTGTCTTGTCTCATCTCATCTTTTTCATGTATTTGCCTTAATCTTTGTTTCTCTTTTCTTCTCTTCTCCCTGTTCTTCGCCTCCTTTTTACCATCCTCTCCTTATTTCCCTCCTTTCTTTCTTCTGGAATCTCATACATTGCAACTGACCCAACAACTTTATTTCCTCTTCAACTGTTTGTTTAGTTTATTGTGTTTTATTATTTCAGGTTCATAGCAGCACTTAAGTCGAGTCAAGGCACTTTCCTCAAACTGACCGATTACTCACTTACTCAAGCAATCCAGGGCGTGTAAACTTAAACCACATGGACTTCCAAGCAACTTCCATTGGGCAAAGTTTTGATAACTTGTATCAGCAGCAGTCCAGTGTTTGCTTTGTCCTCGCCTCTTTCTATTGTGCTTGAGTTTCAAACCGTAGCATTCAGATGTCCACATCTGTCTCCTTAAACACATACACCTTTGTGTTATGGGGGACGTTTACAATAGTATTCATGGTTCAGATCGCGTTTTCCCTCTTAACAAAGCACACACTTTAGTCCCCTTGGAGGAGCCCAACAGTGCACTGCCAGTGAACTGCAGTTCGAGGTGTCTCAGCAGTGGTTTGATTGAAGCCCCTCACACGTGGCAAGACAAACTAAATTAAAGGAGTAAACACTCCAGAGTGCAAACAAACCACTCCAAACATAGCTGGCGTCAACACACATCTCTGCTCGTCCTCTCCACGCCTGCATTCCTTCACCTTCCCTCTGTTATCATTGAACTTCTCCAGATCCGTAATAAGCTGGTTTGATTGATCATGGCTAATTCTAAAAAGCCGATAGGAATACCTGCAGCTCTCTTTGTGTGTGTGTGTGTGTGTGTGTGTGTGTGACTTTGACTGAAGCTCTCAGATGAGGAGCCAATTGATTGAGATGGCCCCAATTAGTCTCTGTGATTAATTGAGTGTGATTGGATGTCGTCCCGGGCACCTCCTCGTTGACGTTATTGACAGGCTAATTAGTTGCCGTGGTGACCGCTTAAACACAGCTTATTGTGTGTGACTCTGAAATGACCCTATAGAAGCCAATCAAGCCTACTTCTTGCTTGTGTGTGTGGGTGTGTGTGGCCAAATATTCCTTGAGGGGTAGTTCTGATATCATTATTATGAAATAATTAGACAGGGTGCTGCTACAATTTGTGGAAATGTTATTATTTTATTTAGCCATCATAAATACAAAACATAGGATTACTCGTATTCATGTTTTTCATCAAGAACAAGATTATTCATCCAAGAGAGAAGTTTCAGCATCCAACAGGAAGCAGACAGCGATAAAGATGGAACCGCACCACACTTAATTAGTGCTGAAATTACAAAACATTACAGGATAATGTCTCTGAGACTGGATGCAAATGAACCTATATAATCATCAGTGATGAGAGGAATACTTGAGATGTGTTGGATAAATTGGCCTTGGGTATTTTTGTCTAGCGCTACAGAAAGAAAACACACTGTGGCACTTACATGTGATGTCGACGGGAATTGTCCCATCTGCTTGTTGTAACTCCCTCCCTCCTGAGGGATTGCCTTTCCACTCGTGCTGTTGTTCTCCACTGTTCATTTTATCCCACATTGAAACACTTTGATTGTTGCTTCTTTTTTTGCCACAAAATACTCGTTTCTGATTGACGGTATCTCTGCTCACCGATATAACTATAGCTTTCTAAATTGGTGCTCATGATGATCCGGACTTTATTAGATGGTGAACAATATTAACACACTTACATAAATGGTTAGCTTCGTGTCTCACACACTGAGGACCCACATCTTGTTATCCAAAGTTTAAGTAATATATATATTTTTAATGAATTTATTTATTTATTATAGATAGATGTTTAAAGGGCCATATAGTAATCATAATGCACTCCAAATATATGGTATAAGTATAGGGACACTTCTGGTATGTACAGTTCTTAGCCTTTAACTTATCAGTGTTAATTTCCAATTTGGAGTCACACACACTTTGTGTACTTTTACTTTACTTTGTGCAACATTTCATACATCATTGCATCTCTATCTAGATCAACATTCAGGCCATTGTTGACAGGACATTCAGAATACAATTTCACACACTACTTTATCAGCCCCATTTCAGGGTCACATATCTAATCCCTTGAATTGAACTTGATACTGAAAATAGCAGAAAAGATTATTTGAAATAGTCCATTTCTCTCTATGCTCCTTAAAGTGGGGTGGGGTCTCCTTTCATCACTGTTCTGTAAAAGCATTCACTTTCTTTCTCTGGCCACACCCTAGAAGTCCTGTTCTACAAACACATTGGGAGCTATCCTTTTTCCCCACAGGGGACAGACATCCTGCTCGACTGAGCAGCTCATGCAGTGTTTCCCATGTCCACACTGAATGGGTTAGTGGCTCTTAAAGGCAGGATGACCCATCCCACCCATTCGACTCTGGTGTGCATTACTGACTGCTATATGAAGAATCAAAGTGTGTGAATGTGGCTGTTATCAGTCAACGTATCTTATCAGGAGTATACAATACTTACTGGCTGCGATCCAATATTTAATAACTAAAGTCCAATGCCAGCCCCATATATTATCAAAGCGATATACTGCAGCATAGCCAATGAAGCACCATGTGTGGATAGAAAACGCTGCAATTTAGATCAAGAAAAGATAAAGAAGAAACAGAATAAAGAGTTGAAAAATGATTTATAGGTAAAACATAACATAAAGAAATGGGTTTTTGTGATGTCGCACTGTACACTCACTGTATGTCACATGCAGTAGAGATAACGAGGGTAAAAGGGTAAGAATCTGTGGGGAGAAAAAGAGGGAGTGGTGGACGAGCGCGCGGTTGACTAGCCGTGAAGAAAAGGCCCTAATCTTGGAGGAGGCCAGAGTTGGCGTAACATCACTTTTTCTGGCCGACCTCTTTTATTCTTCTATTGCTCCACCACTCCAATATCCTTCCTTTCTCCACACACCATCTCCCCTCCCAGCTTCTTTACTTTCCTCTGTCTCTCCAATTCAGATCGGATCCTCCAGATTGGTTCTCCATCGCCTTCTGCTTTAATCGTTTTCTTAAATAATTTAAATTTGATTGAATTGTCCCAGACGTGTCCTGGCAAACACATATTTCACTAGAAGGTTTTCAGCTCACTTTTTCTTTTACATCCAACATTCAGACGGCTTAGGGGACAAAAAATCAATGCAAATACAGTCAATTTCAGAATAATTGCCTGCAGTCACAATATTTAACCGTGCTGCAGTCTATGATTAAAAACAAAAGGAAGCAGATATGCTGTTTGCCCAGTGACAGAGTGAGCAGGAGTGATACATTGATTAAAATCCGGTGTTGAATCTGTCCTGACATTTTCTTAACAATGTGGTCTCTCAATACAAATTGAATCAAGATATCAGTTTTAACACTTTTAGGTTTGCCTAAGCTTGAGGTTTATACAAAATATAAGTGATACTGTGAAAGCTAAAGGAAGTTGTTTTAGCTTGCAGGTATATAATTGATCTAAATCGATCCCTCTTAATGAGGCTGACTTTAATTTATGTGTGTAATAAAAAAAAAAATTACACAAACAATCACAACTAAACTAATTAAAAGCATATCTCATAAAACACAGAGACGCAACTTAATTAAAATGGTGACGTCATGTATGTATGAAATAGTTGATCCAGAATGAATAATTCAAAGAGGAAATGTGTAATTAGAGACACAGCTGCTTTGGATTTAATTCATGGGAGCTGTATTACTTTGATATCTCTCTGGTATGTCTCTGTTTTTTCTTAAAACCTCTTTCCCAAACTCTGCTTAGTTCTTAATTATATAATATACTCTGTATGTTAGTTAACATGTCTTTTTTTTATTTTATTCTTTCTGCAGTTCCTCCTCGGGAGCCCACAGTCACCTGTCGATCCAACACCTACCCTAAAGGCTTCTACTGCAGCTGGCACCAACTGCACCCGACGTACATCCCCACCACCTTTGAAGTGGACGTACAGTAAGTGCATTGGTCTTGTGTCTGGGTGCAACTTTTACAATTACATGCTAAAGTCATTATTGGTGTGTCATGCAAAGACCTAGCTTACATTACGTGACACGACTTAAAGTTTTACTACAACATATGCATTATTTTTTTTAATTCATGCAATCATTGGGACACACAGATATTTTGAGGGATCTGTTGCTCTAACCTGAAAAAGGGGGATGAAGACGCGAAGTCCCCTAGGGGGTTACGGTCATTTATAATGTTGCAATTTGGTGATGGCATGTTTCAACAGTAGGTAGACCGTAGAGACTGTGCGGATGGAGACCCAGCGAGTCCGCCTCCCTCAGGTTCTCTTTGATACACCCAGATCACAGAGTCCCACAGCTCACACCACAGCAGGTGGACTCTGCCTTCACTGATTTTGTAACACCGACATCATTCTGTTTAAATAATGTTGAGTAGTGGAAAAGAGAGAACAGTGAGAAGTATAGATGAGGACAATGAGGACTCACAGCAAGAGTCGTTGGTAACTACTGTATCGTGTCCAGCTCAGCCAGTCATCAGGTGGTGCTTTGAGTGATTATTTACTGTATTTCTATGCCAACAGCTCCCCATTCATCTGAACAGCGTTTTTTTTTTTTTTACCTTTTGCCCCAAAAAATATTCACGACTGACTAAATAAAGTTGTGAAGGCGTATTTAGGCCTGAAGACCAAACAACAAATGTACAAAGATAAAACCTAAGGAGGTATAATCAACAGTTTAAAAAGTTGAAGTAAACCATCCTCAGCCTCACTCACGTCTGTCCTTGTTTCTACTCTATCTGCTCCTAACTTTTCATTTTCCTCTGCTCTTCAGACACAACCAGCGTTCACTGGAGGTGCAGAAAGATCCAGACCACAAGAATCGCTGTCGTGTACGTTTCCCCGAGGTCTTCTCCAGCTTCCCCTACAAAGTGAATGTGACGGCAGTCAATGCTTTGGGGAAAGCCTCTGCCACAACTTCTTTTGAAGAGTCCAGTATAGGTAAGATAGATGCCATGTGAAGTGTTATTATAGTTGTGGTGTTCTATTACACGCTTGTAACTAAATTTGATACAAACATGATGCATGTTCATGGTGAAGCAGGAATGTTTACTGAAGAGGTTTTGAATGGATCATTTTTGTTTCCTTCGAACTCATTCAGGCTGCAGAGTATTAACGCTTTTCATTAAAGTTTACAAGCAGCTCTTTATTTGAACTTAGTTCAGGGACACATCTAAGATCCTTTTCCCACACAGATCGACAAAAAATTTGGCAACAAAAATAAGAATTAAGACGCAGTGTCGAGGCATCTCTTTGAGGATGCCAACCCTTGAGCAATGTTAACGCATTTGTTTGACCACAGATGACTGATTTCATTGACTTCTTGTTACCTTCGGAGATTTTTTGCACACACAGTTATGCTCGGTGCCAGAAAGACAAAGGAAATTGGAATTTCAATGGCCAAATAAATGTCTCCCAGCTGAAACGAGAGTGCACAGCTTTTTCTTTTTCGCTTTAACCAACAGCATAGTCCATTAGCAAGAAACCCACCGACTGTGCACCCCTGTCATTACCAAAGGCACTATATAATAAACATGCTACCTCTGAAACTTTTCTGCAGCAAACAGTATTTAATTGAGGCTTGGACGGGTTGTGGCAGTCACAAATCAAAGGTCTGGTTTCTCACTGAAAGTAGCAGATAACCCAAACAGCAGCTGCAATGGAAGCATATTTTTAGTCATATTTAATGTAAGAATTAACCAGAAAAGTTTGTTACTTCGTCTGCTTTTTCCCCTTTTAAATTATAACCTTCATTAATGTGGTAAGTAGTTTGAAAAATAAATACAGTTTGGATTGTGAAGTTTTTGTTCACTTAGGCGGCAGAAGGCTACATAATAACAGCAAGACTATTAGAATTCATAAGCGACTCAGGCTGGAAAGCAGTGAAGAGGAGAAATCCATTTTAAAGAAGGAATGAGAAGTACTTTAATAGATAAGGGAAGTGCTGCCAGCGGTCCTCAGCTCTGTTGTAATGCTCAGAGCGCGATATGGGTGTGCATGACGCATAAACACACACACAGACACCAATGGGGCTGTGAGCGACTGTGTGGAGTGTGTCAGCCGAGAGGGAGAGGGAGAGGGATTGAAAAAGAGAGAGTGTGTGTGTGTGTGTGTGTGTGTGTTTGTGTGTGTGTGTGTGTGTGTGTATGTGTGTGTGTGTGTGTGTGTGTGTGTGTGCGTGCGTGCGTGTGTGTGTGTGTGTACATAAGCAACCAAATGAGGCAGTGACATGCTCTGCCAAGCCCCGGACACAGGACTCATGAAAATGCTAATGCTAGCCGGATTAGAGCCTCGGCTGAGGAAATATCCCTCAACTATTGGTGATCGCAAAACACCCCACTGCTCCTTTCTTTCCTTCTGCTTTCTCTTTTATGCCCACATACCCTTCATGTGACTTTGTACTTCTTCCCCTGTTCCCTCCTATTTTGCTTCTGCCTCCTTCTCTATCACCAGCCACATCTTCTCAAATACCATTTGTGTGACAAATGTCGTCCGTCCTCACTATTATTTTTAGATAAATTTCTTAAAGTTTGCTTTTAAGCCAGGCGGCAACCTCCCATTCTGAAGAGTAAAGCCTTAAAGCATTCCATGCATTCTATCTAATAGCCAGCAGGGGGCGACTCCTCTAGTTGCAAAAAGAAGTCTATGAGAAAATAACTCTGCTTCTCACTTGATTTATTACCTCAGTAAACATTGTAAACATGAGTTTATTGTCTTAATCGCTAGATTCAAGTCTTCTTCAATACAGCATGATGTTCATTTAGAAAACAGCAGCCCACAAACCAATGGGTGATGTCATTGTGACGATGTTCACTTCTTATATACAGTCTGTGTTTTAAGTCGAAATTTTGTTTTCTTTTTATCTAAATCGTTTAGTTAAATTGCAGATAGGAAACAATAAAATAGTGTTGTATCACCACATTATATTGGTAGACTTTATGTACACTTTATGTCTTAGCAGGCTAAAGCTTGCTTCCTCTGCCTGCAATGCGCTACATGACCGCTTGCTTTTTATTTTAGTACAACTTACAAAACAATGCAGCTGCTGATTGATCACAATGAGAGTTGAAAGCAACAGGAACCTCTTTTTTATTCAGACTTGAACACAAGAACAGTATCTTGCAAATAAGAGAGACTTTGAAAAGATCTTTTTTTTTAATTTTACAAATTGCTCGTTGAAAGCCAAAACCTAAAAATGTAGTTTTCAAATTAAACAAAAACTGTTGTGAATGGGGTCTTCCCCTCTCCCTTGCTGGGTTAATCTGTTTTCTAACTTTTTCTAAGTGTTTCAAATAGTTTGCCTTCTCTCACCCCTCTTGCTCTCCTCCCCTCATCTCCTCCTTGTTCCTGCATTGTTAAAAGTATTTCCCATGCCATTCTAAGTTGTAAGCCACATTCATTATCGGGGACAACGAGGCAGATCGTAAATAAATAAAACAATTTCATGCTTCCTGGTGCACTTCAGAATTCTGAGTGGGAGTAAGAAGATTCTCAACTGTCCTTGTTCATCCGACCAAAGCTGGGATGAAATTAGAAGAGATTGTGTGTGTGTGCGTGTGTGTGTGTGCATGTCTGTGTGTGTGTGTGCGTGTGTGTGTGTGTCCTCACATGTGCATGTTCTGGGTACAGTTACAAAGAGAACCCTCAATGGAAGTTTCAGACTCATCAAATGATAACTTAAAGCTTTCCTGTGCCAAGATGATCAAACGATGACTGATCTTGTCTAAAGTGTAAAGACTTCTAAAGTTGACGCTTGTTTTACTTACACAGATTTTTTTTTGTCAACTCCAACTAGCCCACCTGAGCATGATTAAGGACTACATTATTTATTCTTTGTGATTAAAATGAATATAATTTCAAAGCGGGGATGTACCGGCAGTAGGTTTCTTCCAGCACCATTAAATCATCTGTCACTTTCATCCTTTCAATTAATACTTAGAAATGGAGGGCTCATATTCAGGTTTCTCTTGTGGCTGCTTTATGGGGGTTTGTGTGCAGGTCTTAGGAGGAGCCAGTACATGTTGACTTCAGTCAATGGAAGTGAAGTTAAGAGGATAATAACAGCAGTGTAAAATACTTTAATGCAACACCCTGGAGCTATTTTCAGTAGCTGTCTCGTTTTTTTTTGTCTCTGATATTTTCAAATAAGGAGCGCAGACTGCACTGTTGTTCAAGATTTAGCTATTTTAAAAAATCAGTTTGTTGTCATATTTTTCTAATTTCAGCAGATTCAGCAAGGAAGGTCAGATGTCAGCATTGTCTACAAAAAAAAGCAGCTAGACAACTAGAGCTGGCAGACGTTTAGAGGCATATTTACTGAGAGATGCACTGTTTACTATCATGCACAAAACGTAGCGTAAGTCCAACTGTCTCTGGGACGGCAGCGGATTTCTTACTGTTCCAACTTCCAACTAAAAATACCGAAGGCGCAGGCATTGTATCAAGAGCTGCAGATCTGCTTCATATTAATAAACGGGTATAGTACGACTCCCCATGGTCTTAATATTCCAGATATGAGAAGATATGTTGGAGTATGACTGCCATCTATAATTTATTTTGCATGAGAGAAAACCTGACACAGAACTTTCTGATGTGCTTTTTAAAATTCCCATTTATTCTCTTTGCCTGTTGTAGCTTTGAACAAATAGGACAGCAGCCATGTGAATTAAGGACGTACGTTCTAGTCATTTAATTATGTGAGCAGGAGATTTTGTTTTTGTGAGTCCATGAAAGGAACCCAATCCGTGCTCTGTTACTGCCATGCTTTACATTTACTGTACACACACAAAACGTTTGTGCACATAGAATGGCACTTGTTACACATTTCATGTACAGTAGAGTTTAGTCGGAATTACCTCCTAATTAAAATACAGTCTGCTTCCAACAATGAGCCTGAATGGAAGGAGGAGCTATTGTGCCGTACTTCTTTTAAAAAAAGAGGACATTTTTTTTACCCTTTTCGTTCCATTTTCCTTATTTCTGTAAGATTTCACTGCAGATCGAAGCACTCCATTTCTCTCTATTTCCCCTATTTGTTCAATTGCAGCATTAGATGCTGTCATCAAACATCTGTTTTGCTTTAAAACGATTCATAGATTCCACTTCTTTCTTCTTCTTCTTCTTTTTTTAAAAGCCCATTTATTTGAAAGGAAATCTGGCGTAGTGTGGGAGAGAAGAGCTTCAGGGTTTCTAGATGTCTTGTGTTTTTTTTTTAGCATGCATACAAACCTGGCTGCATTAAGTAAAAGCACTAGATGTTGCACAGCAATGGTTTTAGAAACACTACAATCAGATATTCAGGTCATGTACTACATTGGTAAGCGTACATCTACGAGCAGATGTAGCTTTTGCAGTTCTCTTCTGTTTTACTGCTTGATTGCTGCGCAGTCTTTGCCACCTGGACAGCCTTTAAGCTACACTTTTTCTTTTTTAGAAAGAAAGATTAGCCACTCTCCCTCCCACACTCTTGTTCCATTTTCAGCAAGACAGTGAGCATAATGGTCTCGCAAGTATAGCTGTTTGAAAGATTAGACTTTTATGTTACGGTATACCTGTTCACTTGCATCATCACCAAAGAGACAGAACGGGCTGCAGTGAATGTTGCAACATGAGACTTAAAGGAGGAAAGAGTAAAGGTAATGTGGATGCAAATGTGAATGAACGGAGTCAAGGGAGTCATGACAGACGTTTTCAGCCCGAGCATGGACAAAAATTCCATTTGATAAAATTACAACCTCATTTGAAATTGTTGGCAATTGACAATTTGCAGAACAGAATTGAGAAGGATGTCTATCTACCTGCAACATTCCTTTAAGTTTAATGGACGCTGTGAAATGCTTTGAGCCCATTGATCTGTTCCTCGCCATGTTTTGGTGTTTTGGTCAGTGACGTCCCAGACTCTCATTGTCTCACTTTTCATTGAAGTCCTTTCCGTCGTTCAGCGCTAGTATTATTAGAAGTGCTTCAAAAGGAGGATGTGTTCATTACTCATGCAACACAAAGCTCATACTCTGTTTCAAGTCAGATGAATACTTTAAAAGCCTTTGGGACTCCCTACCCATACAGATTTCTCTGTTTTGTTCCGTTCCTGCACATGTTTCCTTCTGTTGGACAAATCGGGATGTGGACAAAGACGATGAGTTTCTGATCTCTAGTCTCCACTGACTTCACTTTGGTTTCATTCTGCCTGCATGCACTGTTCCGTCTTTCTTTCTCTCTCTCGCTCTTTATTTCTTCCTGTCTCTATTTCATCTTTTCACACATTTACTTGAAGAAGGTCACAATGAGATGAATATGTCTTTCTCAAGGGAGAAAGCTGTCGGTCTGCTTTTGTCTGTCTTTTATCATCTCCATCGGTCTTTCATATTTTCATTATTCATTCTATGAAGGTCACACTGAGAGAGATGCCTGTTTGTTTGTATGTGTCTGTATGTGCTTTGAGTGCTGTCTGTTTAGGTGCCTTACCGCATGTATGTCGTTGCGGGTTTCACCCAAATTGATTTCATCCTCTTGTACTTTATCTGTATGTGTATTATCAGACATTCTGGTTGTTACTGCAGCTATCCATTCTCTATTGTAATATCATACGTGTGTGTGGCTGAGAAAAGGTTTCATGTAGCTGAAGTGGCAGGCCAGTGTGTTCCCTAGTGAGAGTGATCCAACAAAGACCGGGTCATTCAATATCTTATGAAAAGCATTGCATAGAATTCGCTCAATTTCTCTGTCTGCGTGTCCTTCTCAGTTGACAGGTATTCAGGAACACAACATGTATACATGCCTTTCTCTCAGGGACTCGTAGGCTTCCCGTCTTCTGCCTCGCAACAGTTCCCTCAAACATTGTCAGCTTCTGCCTTTGTCCTCACCGCTGTCTTTCACTGATAAATGAACAACCTCCTTCTGAATATTTATTTTTCATTGGAGTACATGGTGACCTTAAGAAAACCATGCAATAATGATAATAATAATGATCCTTAGTCATAAGAAGAAAGAGGCGTAGAGAGAGAACCCTTCTTATAAATGACTTCTTAACCTTAAAAGGTTAAGAGTAAAAAAATAAATAAATGCATTACAGACTGAAATATCCTGTCTTTTAGTTCCTAGTATGAGTCAAGGTTCAAAAAGTCTGCATCATGCACCTCAATAGCATCTTTCATTAGACCTTCTCTGGCCTTCTTTTCCCTCATGTTTCAAACTCCATGTCCCTAGTTTATAATGTTTTCTGTCAAATATTTAAAGCCAAAAGGTCGGATTCACATTATCGCAGAAATACTCCTCCTGCATTATTATTGCATTATCAACAATTATTGCATTTTTGCCGCACCCCCACTCCACTCGGTACCTTCACAACACACCACTGTGAGCCAAGCAGTCATGACCACAGCTTGAACTGAAAAATGGACGAAAACATGTGTTTCTCAATTTCCAGAACTGCACGATAACAAATTGGCCTCACTTAAGAACAGAAAAAAATATATATGTTCAGTTGGAAACGTATCGGCTTTCAGATGCAGTCACAAGGTTTGTTACAAAATCCCCGTGTGAGTCCCTGAAACATAGAAATGGACTGCTCGCAGCATTGCCATTGTAGCTAAGGTGGCACTGCGCTAAACAGGAGTTCCAGGGTGGTAAACTCTGCTCCAAGAAATGCTGAACTTGTATGTGTTGTATCGGTGGGGTGCCCCTTTAACTAACTGTTCTCATCCACCACACAGTTAAACCAGACCCCCCGGAGCGCGTGACAGCGACCCCGATCCGTTTCAACGCCCGGAGGCTGGAGGTGTCCTGGCACAGCCCCGCCACCTGGCCTGACATCGACAACTTCCCTCTGAAATACTTCCTTCGATACCGGCCACTCATCAAAGAGCAGTGGCAGCATGTGAGTAGCGCTGCTATGTGTGTGTGTGTGTGTGTGTGTGTGTGTGTGTGTGATACAGAGGGAGAGAGAGAGAAACAGAGAGTTCACACAACCGTACAGTTTGGCATTTGATTTTGAGGTCACGATTCGACACATTAAACTCTAGTGAAAACTAAACACATGGACATTAATCACACACTGTAAAAATGAGCTCCTCACTTATGAGTAACATAGCTTGCCCTGAGAAACGTCTGTCTGACACATGTAACAACTATGCAGTAAGTGAAGGGAGATAAACGGTCAAGAGTTTTTGTCCAGATACAGCTCCATTACCAAAAGCTGTAAGTCAACATTGAAAAACACCTGTAAGATTATGATTCATTATATGGTATTTGAAAACCTCTGGTGAGCACGTATTCATTTTTTTCTCTGGAAATGGTGCTCTAAAGAAAAAGACTGGCCCCCCTCCATTTTGCAGATTGAGTTCCACCTCATTGCAAAAATATTTCTCAAAAGGAAATGGCAAGTTTTCCAGCAGCAAGATAGATTGTCTTTTAACAATGAAAACATTTTTTACCAGTTTTTGTCATCTATAGACAAATAGACTATAGTTATTTGTCCAGAGAGATGCCTCTGAGACCAGTTAGATGTGAAATGATCCAACCTGTATCGGTTTCAGTTTGATCCCTCGTCAGACAGACATAATCGCTCAGCTTCTTTGGTGTATGTTACTGTATCTGACTCTTTTTTGTAGGTTCAGATCCCTCAGGGCTTCGTATAGTAAAAGCATATGTGTCCACTATAGGATTCCTGGGATGAATGCTCCCTCTACTAAGGTCTAGCATTGCAGCGTTATTATCATGCCCGTCAATGGTTCGCAATGGTGTTGTTCCAAGAACTTGGGTTACAGACTCTCACATGGAAAAACACACATTTTCTTTGTCAGTCGTCCTCTCGCGCTTTCCATTCCGGCATGTATCATTCAACAAGTGTCTCTGTCGTTACCTCACTGTGTCAACATTTCCTTCCTTTGTTCTCACTCTTTCCTATGTCTTTCCATTTACCATAACAGCAGCTCACACGCATTTATGTGGGGGGTATCTTCATCTGTCGTTTGTGTCATTTGATAAACATGAAATAATATGTAAAATATCAGTGTATCAAATCATTTTCACTGTGACTATTTGGCACCACTTGGTGTTGCGTTCTCCTAGTTCAAACACAGCTGAACTGAAGATGTGAATGCACCTGAGATGAGCGAACCCTCAAGACATTCTTGGTTTTAATTATTCTCCTAATTAGGCTGCTTGCAGTCCGTTCCCAGCAATGAACTGGGGGCTTATTGTTTATATTAATTACAGCAATTAGACTTATTGATTTAATGTTTCAAGTGATTCATCAAGTACAAGGATTAGCTGATTCCTGCTTCTCAAAAGTTTTGATCAGTTTTATATAATTAACCACTGAATTGTTTTTAGGTTTTTAAGTGTTGAAACAAAACACTCAAACTGAAAATGTTATTTCGGCCTCAGGGAACTACTGAAAGGTATTTTTGCATTATTTTTCCTGCAATCTCAAAACAAGAAATGGAACAATATGTCACAGTAAAACTACATTTAGTTATCCAACATGCACCACAGCTATCTAGCTACATGTTAGAGCTATGCTCAGACCTTTAGTCACACATATACGGTTATTATCCACATTCACTCTCTCCTTCTCATTCTCACAGCAGTTGGAATGAGGAAAGTTAAAATTACGCCTCAGATCTTTATGGTATAAATTGATGATTAAACTTGACGCACACTCTTAGTTCACCTTGGTGCCCTCAACACTAATCAATCAATATGTGAACCGGTGCATAACGGGAAAGATGGGAAACCTTAAGTCAATATTTGGATTGGCTAAGAACACATAATTTGTAAATTACACAAATAGGGTGGATGACAGCTGAAAGACCGCAGGCTTTTTGGCTTTTGCGGTGTTCTTTGATGGATGTCTTCATGGTGGTGCTTTTCATTTTTGCAGCAGTAAATGTGGTTTTCAGAAGGGGGGAACCACTTCTGCACCGTGATCATTTCATGATTGCACTTCTGCACCTTTTATGAGGAGTTAGCTCAGAGTGTTGGTCCTCAATCCTGCAGAGAGAACTTGTTAATAGATATATAATTGTCTAGCATGAACACAGTGACAGACTGTGCAAACGAAATGACAACTTAGTCTGGTTATCAGACCCTGAATTTGTTTCTTCTTAATGGCCGTTACAGTCATTCCCATCGTTTCTGTGGACTTAAGTGCCTGTGAACAAACCCAGCCCACCATTGCATGTGCAGTTTTCATATTGACATATAATGGTGTTGCCATGTTATGAGCAGAAACCTCTATATAAATATATGTTGATTATAGCAGCTTGTCAGTGGCTACTGCCATTAGAGCTGATCATGGCAGAGCATACTGCAGACTGCATATTTAATGACTATATAGCACTCTTGAGCAAAACATTTAGGCTTAAAGCTGTGGCATAAATCATTAGGTAGAGTTAAATGAGGTTGCCAAAATAAGATGCACTGTTTATTGGCTCCATCTAAACCTCATTAATTATAGCCTCAGAGGTTGAATACTAATTTAAGTTGTTAGTATTGCTGAGGAATTCACCTTAAATGTGGGTGAGAATGGCTTTCACGCGTAACATTTTGAAATGTGTTTTGAGTTAGGAATGAAAGCGGCGGCGTGATCAGATTGATCTTTAGAGGAAACCATCCATCCTGCTGAGGAATGAAGGGACGACTGGCCCAGATACTTAGAGTGATGGAGATTCAGACAGAAGGAGGAAAATGGGGGAAAGTTTTGAAGTAGAGATGAATGGAGTGCATCGGAGAGGGAGAAGAACGTGAATGGACAGCAGACTCTGGGAGACACCATAAAGAGAAAGAGGCAGTATATATAAGTGAGACGGACATTAATAGATAGCATTTGGACTTAAGTTATAGGGTGACAATCCACAAACGAGTGACAAAGAATGGGATTGAGAAAAGGAAACTGAGATGTTGTGTTCAATAAAGCATAGAAGCCTGAGACTAATTTGATTCTAAAAGTTGAAAAAAGATTGGATGGTGGATGAAAGAGGTGTGTAGAGAAGAATAGAGAAATGCTCATATGGAGAGTTGGCCTCAAATAGACAGATACACGAGATGAAAGTGTGAGAGACAAGAAGAAAAATGGGAAGACTACGTTAAAAGTAAAGTTTCAAAGGCTATTGAATGTTGACTGTTTCAAGTTAAATAAAGATGGATGACTGGTTCAAGAGAAGAAAAGACAGAGGGATGACAAAAAAATGTCTGGAATATCTTAAGCCGAGACAGAGAATTAAAGAGAAGGAGAGACTTTAGATCTAACCCATATAAGACCCTGTTCTTCCAATTACAGAGATTTAACCAATATGATACATCTGACATAACTCATATATATTTCATTGGTTCTTGCTTTATTTACCGGTGCCTGGTATGGTGTCAATAGGCTGGGACTGAAACGTAGATTGACCAAGAATGTTAAGATGCTCAGTAAAGATAAGCTCAGTTTCAGTACATTAAGGGCAACACACACACAGGAAGTGTATGACACTGGAACCTGGACATGCGTCATGCTCGTTGACATACATTGACTCAACACAACACCCCGTCTTATTTCCATGTGCATTATTGGTCCAAAAAGAGTGGCAATTTCATCACATCTCTGCAACCACACCTCGACTACTTCAGTATTTAGTGTTGTGTGTGCTGCAGCCTTTAATTGAAGCAAAGCAAATGATGCAACAGTGCATGCTATCGTCCCTGTTTTGCACTTGAATAATCAAAAAGGCTAATTTGGTCCTTGGACTATACCCTGATCATCCACTCCGTCAAGACGGTGATCTCTTTCCTTGAGGCTGCAGCTTCAAAGAGTCCATAACATAACATGGCAGGCCGGACTCATGTAATTCATTAAAATCTGTAATAAAGAGTTGACTATCAAAGGTGCGAAAGAATCGCCATATGGAAGCACATCTGTATGCATGTGAATGTTCAGTCAGTGAATTGTTCTGTTTCCCATGGCCTTGTTTCGTTTCCATCCCGCCCTCAAACTCTCACTGCAATTAAGGCAATGGTCCAGCAACTGTGATAAGAACAATTTCAGATTGCTCAATATTCTCTCCGTTGTGTGGAACTGCATCTGCCGCGCTGTAATTGCCCTTTGGGGGATGATGCTGAACTCAACTGAAAACTCGTACGTTTCAATGCAAGGCGCTCTCGTGAACGGAAACAGACATATACAGGCGGAGAGGAACACATGCACATGCAGATGCATACACGCAAAAGATTCAGTTTATTGCAGTCCATGCGCAGAGCCCCACTGTATATCTGCATTGTCCATTCATAAGCTGTCTATGCACTGTCACACCCACACATACGTTAAGAAGGAGGGACACAATAAGTGGAGCGACCGGTGCAGAGAAAGGAGGTGGAATATGTGTCAGCATCGTCAACGCGGCTTAGCCCTTCGTTCATTTATTCATCCCACATTTATTCTCCTTTGTCCTTCTGTCTGACATGCTGCATCCCCCTCTCCCATCCATCCATCTCCCTCACCCCCCCCCCCCCCCCACACACACACACCTCACTTTCTTTGTCACTTTTTCTCCCTCTATCATTTTCCTTCTCTCTTTTTTCCTTCATCCTCATCTCTCCTTCTCTTCGTCAATATTGCCCTTCTTTCCTATCACTCTTCTATTCACTTTCTTTATCTCTCCGTGTGCTCTTCTGTGTAATAATGGCATTTGCCAAAAGTCACTTTCATCCTGCAAGCACTTAGATGAATCAATAGTGAACCAGGAGCTGTGTGTGTGTGTGTGTGTGTGTGTGTGTGTGTGTGTGTGTGTGTGTCTCTGTGTAGTTGTAATTGTGTGTAGATTCACATAGATATAATGTGTGCCTGTGTTTTTTTCCCCCTTTTTTTGCTCCTTTTTTCACTGATTTTGTACATTT